CACTTACCCTGGCTGCACTAACCCCCACTGTTCACACTTACCCTGGCTGCACTAAGCCCAATGTTCACACTTACTATGGCTGCACGAACCCTCACTGTTCACATTTACCCTCGCTGATCTAACCCTCCTGTTCACACTTACCTGACGGCACTATCCCCACTGTTCACACTTACCCTGACTGCACAATCCTGACTGTTCACACTTCCTCTGGCTAAACAAACCCCACTGTTCACACTTACCGTAGTTGCACTTACCCCACTGTTCACACTTACCCTTTCTGCATTTACCCACTGTTCACACTTACCCTGGCTGCACAAATCCCACTGTTCACACTTACCCTGACTGCACAAACCCCAATGTTCACACTTACCCTGACTGCACTACCCTCACTGTTAACACTTACGCTAACTGCACAAACCCCACTCTTCACTCATTCCCTGAGTGCACAACCCTCACCATTCAGCTCTCAAGAAAATCTCCTCCATCAATTCCCTCAGCGTTTCTGCTGGTCACAACACATTGGGTATATGTGGGCGTAATGATGCTAAGCCATCCATCAGTGCCCTTGTCCTACATGCTGCACTGTTTCCACCCACAATGCCATCACTTCCGCCATTTCATATCAGCTGAGTATAAAATGCTGGTTCCATTGCGTATCCCATCCTGTTGTTCAATCAGCAGAATTGGCTGAAGCCAGTTTGGGTATTAACTGGTGTGTGACAGTTTCCAGCATCAATAAACTGTGATCCTGAGTGGATTCAAGCAGCCATGAGCTTGTGTGGCCACATGGCCTGATCCTGATTCATCTGTAAACAGGACGAAGACAGTCCTCACCCTCTTCAAAGCCTTTTTGATTCCCCCCTACCCTCAGCTCCAACATCGAGAGCGCATGGCTACTGTTTGCCTCTGTAAGCCAGATTAATGAATGGACCCACTTCACCTTTCCTCTAACCACGTCCTTCCATCATCGGGAGGTTGTCCTTCACCACTGAGGCCATTTCCTTGACAAAGCTAACATTCAGACACAGAATCTGCTCCTCACTCTGCTCCAGAATAATCATTCACCTTCCCACAGAGGAGCTGCCCAATCAAACTCACCCTCTCCACCTGCAGTGCGGTAGTCGGCATGAAACAAGCATCCCAAAGTTCCCTTCTTCTCCCTGAGCTGCTGTAGATAGGAGGGAATTTTGACAGTATGAAAGGCAGAACCAGACACGCACTTCAGCAGTCTTCAAGAAGCAGTCAGAAACAAAGACCAGAACAGATTAAAATTTCTTTCAAATGTTTAAGCTAAGAATAAGGAGGACGTCGAGTGGAGCGGTGGGGGGTGAGGATGATGTGACAAAGATAACAAGTAATATTAAGAACATTCAAGAACATTACCTTATTGAATTCCCCCACTATCAATATATGGTGGGGGGCAGTGGGGGTTATAATTGATCAGAAACTGATCTGGACGAACCGTATACTGTATATACTCATGTAAAAGTTGAATGTTTTAGACTTTTTTTGAGGTTAAATTTAAGCAGTCGACTATAACATGGACACTACTTTTGAGGGGCTGAAGTCCAAAATACCGTACCATTGGCAGAAGCCCAATTGATCTTTAAATGAATAAAGAAACCAAAAACAGCGAATTACAGTAATCACTGTAATGTCGTATCTACTAGTTCAGCAGGCAGTTTTTGTACAACCCTAGTTCTCTGCTGAAATACAAAGTCATGGCCTCTCAGGAACCTTGTGCATCATCCAGCACTCACCTTAAAATCGGAAATTCCATCCTTCTTTGACCGTTTTGTGTATGGAATCGGATGGCTTCACAATTTTCCATTTTAACAATTTTCAAGTACCCACTCAGCAACTTTTTTCTCCATTTGTGGCCACTTGCTAGATTTACCCCTGTCGGCACACTTTCATTTTGGCATTGTCTGAAGCTGGTTCGATATCTTTCTCCATTCTCTCACAAGTTTCACCGAAACACAAAATTCTCTTGCTACTACACAGTTATTTGTTTTCTCTGCAACTTCAGTAACATTCAGTTTAAACACTGCTATATATTTTTTGTTTTTTTTCCAGAAGACATTTTTAAACAAAATGATGAAGAAATCTCAAAACACATAATAGCACGAAATAAACCTTCATGATAACATTTATGTAGAGGATAATACCTTGACTCACAAATGTTGATCTGTTATCTGTGCGGAACTAGAGTTGACTTTTACATGAGAGATTAAAAAATACCAGATTTTTTTGACCAAAAATACGGGGTGAACTTTTAACTGAGATCGACTTTTACTCAAGTATATACGGTATATACAGAGGCTACAAGAGCAGGTCAGACGCTAGAAATCCTGCAGCAAGTAAATCAGCTCCTAACTCCTCAAAGCCTGCCCATCATCTACAAGGCACAAGTCAGGAGTGTGATGGAATACTCCCCACTTGCCTGGATGAGTGCAGCCCCAACAACACAAAGAAAGTTGATACCATCCAGGACAAAGCAGCCGCTTGATTGGTACCACATCCACAAACATTCACTCCCTCCACCACCGACGCTCAGTAGCAGCAGTGTGTACTATCTACAAGATGAACTGTGGAAACTCACCAAAGATCCTTAGACAGTACCTTCCAAACCCACCTCCACTACCATCTAGGACAAGAGCCCCTTCCTGTAAGTTTCCCTCCAAACCAATCACCATCCTGACTTGGAAATATATCATCATTCCATAAGTTTCACTCGGTTAAAATCTTTGAACTCCTTCCTAACAGCTTCAGTTGATGTACTCTGAGGACTGCAGTTCAGGAAGATAGCTCACCAGCACCTTGTCAGGACAATTAGAGTTAGACAATACGCTCTGGCCTAGCCAGGAATGCCCATGTCCCATAAAGCAATAAAAGCATTTCATATTATGAAAGGGCTTTGACAGGGCAGCTGGAAAAGATGATTTCACTTGTAGCACAGTAACCAGGGACCATTAATACATGACAGACACTAGTAAATTCAATCAGGAATTCAGAACAAATTTTTTTTTTAACCCAAGAAGCGAGGAGAATATGGAAACTCATTCCCCCAAACTGAATAGTGAATGTATGTATTGAATGATAAACTAGATAAGGACAGAAGGAAAAAAGGAAAGGAAGGATATATTGATGGTTTGGATGGAGTGGAGGGTGGAGTTGGCTTGTGTGGCATACCGAGTGCCCTGTTTCTGTACTGTATCTCTTTTGTAACCAGATTAGTGAGCCCACCTGAAGGGCAGCCTTAGATCGGAACACATTTCCTCACTGTGTTAGTTCACTGGAGAGTGACATCATTTCTCGTGACACGTTGCAGGTGGCAAAGGTGGGAAGAAGAAGAAAAATAAAAGCAGCATCAAGCCCCATAAGAACGCAAGCTCCAACTGGTCCAATGTGCCCCTGCCCCCTCCACCGGTACAGCCCCTCCCTGGTACAGAACTGGACCACTACATCATGGACCACCATGAAAATGGGTAAGATCATCTTCACCACTCCTTCATTCACAGTGCTTTGGAATCTCACATCACATTGCTGACAGTTGGGCCATGCATCATTGAGGTACTGGTCTGCTCCAAGCTATTTCTCTTATTACCTTTCTAAGATTCAACATCAAATTCAACAACAGCGAACCATGAACATTGTCCTGCATTGTGATCCTTTTTTCTCTCTGCCACATCTCAGTCTTGTTGTCACACTTTTGCTTTCAGATATTGCTGTTCATTTATTCTGTGGTTAACACTTAATCTGCACCAGTGTTTTGTTTCTTTACCTCAAACATGACCTTTTTTTATTCATTCACGGGATGTGGGCATCACATTATTGCCCATTGTCAATTGCACAGACCAGGTAAGGATGGCAGATTTCCTTCCCTGAAGGACATTAGTGAACTAGATTGGTTTTTCCAATGATCAACAATGGATTCATGGCCACCATTAGACTTCTATCACTAGATTTTTTGTAGATTCAAATTCCACCATCTGCCGTGGCAGGGTTTGAACTCAGGTCCTCAAAACTTTACTTCTGTCTCCAGATTAATAGTCCACCAATTAATACCATTAGGCCATCATCTTCCTTGCCTTTGATTCCATGGCATCTTTGTTACTTAGAAACATAGGAGCAGGAGTAGGCCATTCAGCCCCTCAAGTATGCTCTGCAATGTAATCTCTCCTGTCCTTCATTCTATCCCTGTCCATCATTTTAAAATCCATCTACCTCCTTTCAGGTGTGAAGAAGAGTCCTTTGGCTTGAAGCTTCAGCTCTGCCTGTCTCTCCACAGGTGCTGAGTATTTCCAGTTATTTTTGTTTGCGTGGGCAAGGGTCAAAAGTCAAGCTTTTGTGACTTGCTCCCATTAAGACCTATCAGAAGTGTGGATGAATGAACTCTGTAATCCAATCCTTGAATAATACATTATTCCTGAGGAACAGAGCCTATATTAAAATACAGCACTTCTAGACTGGGGTAGTGGGGTAACCAGGGGCCCAGACAACTCAAGAATCGTTTCCTACCTTTCTGTGTTCCAGTTTGAGGGAAGTTATATTTGAAAAATTTCAGAATCTTTTTACCTTTTGTTACCCAATTCAGAATGGAGAAAAAAATGAACACCTTGCATTTGTATGGAACCTTCATGATCCCCAGGCTGTCCCAGGAGAACTTTGCAATCAATGAAATACTTAGTGAAGCGGAGTTCCCATTGTACCATAGGAAGCATGGCAGCCACATTGAGCACAGCAAGCTCCCACCAAAAGCAATCTGATCACAACAAGATTCATTGTCCGTTTTGCTGAAGGATAAATATTGGCCAAGATAGAAGCTTGGTGAGGGTCATAGGAGGTTGTGTTTGTGTTCATTTCAGCGATGTCTCCCAGCTGCTTTTGCTACACAAAGTGGAATTGATTCTGGCAACTGTTGTTGGAGTAAATGCCTCACGCTGTGGAAACTGAGGGCTCTTTCCCCTTACAAATAAACATCCTTTTTGCTTTGTCTGAATTCAGTGAAAATTTGCCAAATTACCCACTGAGAAACCGTGATTTGAAGGGGCACTCATGTACCAGCTGTGTCCTTAGTTGTTCTGCTGAGCAATAACGACTAACCGTGGTAAGGTGTTGCCAGGTTCAGCTGGTAACTGAACTGAACCTTAACTCAATGGGTCGACCTTAACATCCAAGTTGACACTTACTGTGGATGAGCCACACTGTCAGATGTTTGGCTGGAACATTTATACAATTTGCTCGCTGCTTGGTAAGGTCAACGATTCATCAACTGCCATGAAAGATCCCTGTGTCCATCCCCCTCAGCCAAACTGAGTTTCAAAGGGCAACACAAAGATAATTTTATAAGGAACCTGTCCTGGGAGTGTTTGAAGGGGACTGTGTAGAGGAAACTTTATTCTGTATCTAACCCTGTGCTGTCCCTGTCCTGAGAGTGTTTGAAGGGGACTGTGTAGAGGAAACTTTACTCTGTATCTAACCCTGT